TAGATCGACCAGTAAATCGAGAGCTTCGCCTTACAGCTCAGCTCTCTCTTCACCACGACCTTGACCTTGACCTTTGACTACCAAAATCTATTCAGTTCATCCTTACGTCCAAGTGGACACTTGTGCCAAATTTGAAAAAAATTCCCTCAAGGCGTGCCTGGCATACCATATTCACAAGAACGGGCTGGACATATGTATATACAGATGGACAACCCAAAAACATAATTCATTCAGCCACAGCTATCGCCAGCGCTGAGGCACAAAAGTGTTATAGTGATTGTGCTAGACATAGGCAGTTCACAGGTTTTCAAATGTGAGGATTTGCTGCTTTTCACCACAAGGTAGATTCTGCACCAAATGAGTTAAAGCTTCAGTAATTACAGGCGCTGTGCATGAAAAGTCACTCACGGCATACTGTAAATGCAAACATTTGTTTCTGAGTGACTGTCAGACTGAGTCATTCCATCACATATCACACAGACACACACACACTTCGGTTATTTATCTATTGATCTTTGTCTTTCTGTCTGCTATCAAACATAATTAGTAACAGGTTCCCTTCCCCTGAGTACGACATTTATGGGAATCAGTCTTGTTAAATTCTGCTTCTGTGTGTGTGATCTCAGAACATCTGAAAAAATCTGTCATAGGAGATTAAGGATGAGGAAAATTACAGCAAAGCTCAGACACACACACACACACAGAAACTCATTTGAGGATATAGATAGGGAGGTCCTGTAAAACCAAGGATTTCCAGTCACTCAGTAATTAAATGTTACGATAACAGACCAGCACCACAGATCCTTGGGCAAAATAAGAACAAAATACATGACTGTGCCTGAATTAAACATGTTTTTTCACTTTTATGTAACTGAGTTCAGATGCAATTGTTTTTTTTTAATACTGACTATAATCAGTTGTCTGAGTCTCAATGCCAGTGTGACTCGGATAGGCAGGTCAACAACCTTAGCAAGATATTATCAAGGTCACACTGTTGCTCGGGGAAGTAGAAATCTTCCTTTTTCCCTGTCAAATTGTTGCTGTTCTATTATGTGATGCAACACTGACTCCTGTTTAGTAAAAAAAAAAAAAAAAAAAAAAAAATCTGGTCAGGAAATGCAGTTTTCTACTTCAACCTTGCCCCTTTTTTAAAAAAAAAAAAAAAAAAAAAAAAAAAAAAATCTGGTCAGGAAATGCAGTTTTCTACTTCCTTTAGAAAACCTTTTTATATTACCTGCCTATGTGCATAGATATATTACTTTCTTTTTTTGAAAAGTAAAAGTAAGATAAATAGGTTCCATGGCTGGTTTCTGCTGGTGGAAACTTTTAAGTGTTTTTATTCTTGGTGAAGTGCGCCATCTACTGGACTCAGTGCAATAATGCAGTTTCCTGAGCATTGTGTGTATGGAACACATGAATTGGCTAAGCCACTGTTGGTGGTACCTTCATATCTGTATGAGCATCATTTTCCTCATTTAACTCTCAGCAAGAAAGCTAATTATTCCCCCAAATGTCAAGTTTGTCCTTTAAATAATCCTGTTCACAAAGAAATCTCACAACATCAGCTGTATCACACGATCTTCCTCAGCAGATAGAGGCCCATGTGTCATGGAAATGTGGAGGTAAAATCTTTTTTTTTTGACAAATATAAGGCTTCTCATCCATGTTGGCTCAAATGTTGAGCTCTTAAGTTATCTTCTAACCTTGGAATCAAATGATTCTGGTTTTAAATAACAGTACAATGAATTAGGCTTTAGAAAACATGCATTTTATTTTATTATTCATTTTCCCTTGTAATAAAAATGGCATTCTTTCCACTACAGCACTTTACTTTTTCAAGAAGCTACACCTCCTCATAATCTTTCAATGTTTTTCTACAAGAGGTCAGCAGCAGCAGCACCAGAAGTTTCTCAAGACCCCTCCCGTTATAAATATGTAAACAGCAAAAATGTAACATCACAAGGTCTTTACAGTTGCATCCACAGTTGTTTAAAAGTATTTTAGCAGTCTAACTTGATCTCGCACTGTGCCACAGTGTTATATTGTAAAGTTACTCTGGAAGGTTCCGTTTGGTTAAATTGCCACTTAATTTAGTTACCTTCAAGTGGTATAAAACACGTCCAAACTTACCAGCCCTGCTTCAAATAGGACAATTAGGCTGGTGACTATAATTTAACTACCTGCATAGTCACCTGCACAGTGCTTTGTGCCACACAGGATCACAGTACAGTTATTAAATCACAAAGTAGGGACCCCCCGCCCCCTGTCCCATCTGTACAGCCCATAGTTCATATTCACCAGCTGCCTTTTAATGTGCTTTAACAGGGTCGAATATCTGAAACTACAACATCGCTCACCTTCCAGTCTTGAGGTCATTATGGTTAGTTGGCAAGCTGTGAATCAAACAAATGACCCCCCATCAAGTCTAGTCCCTTTAGTCTGTGTTCTCAGTGCCAAGCATATTCAAGTTATTAAAGACTGCTGAGTTAGCGACATGTGCACGACTTTGCCACCATGTCCTCCATCTCCCTGTACTCCACTTTCTTCTTGTGCACAACCAGCACGCTCATGGGCATGTACTTATAAGGCACACAGGACAGAGGAGGAACGTCCCCAACACCCAAGTCTTTGATGACTGTCTGGATGATGGCGTGGTTGGGGGAATGGTAGCCGTAGGGAAGCACCCTTGGGCAGTCGCCTTGACAAAACCGAGGGTTGTACACCGGCGGGGCAATGAAGTGACCCCAGCCAAGCTTGTCGAAGGAGATGCGGAAGGAGTGAAGCTTACAGCGGTTCCTGGGGATGCTGGTTTTGCGTTTGTAGTTAGGGATGTCTGAGATGATGGAGGCCGAGGGGGTGGAGGATACAGAGGAAGAGTTGTTCAAAGCATCCAATGAAGGATCTTTCGGCTCTGAAGACGAGTTGTCCTCGGAGCGACGGCGGCGCACTGAAGGGTGCCACTGCCCTATTTGCTTCATGATCTTTTGCCCTTCAATCCCCAGCAGATCCCCCATCCAGTCCTTCACTTCCCTCTCTTCCTCCAAGTACAGAAGAAGAGACGGGGCTTCAAGGTGAGGTTCCCCTCTCTGACTCCCACGCAGAGGAGTCCACCACCACAAGAAGCTGCTGTCCCCTTTAGTAAGCCCCAGTTCTGTGCACCAGTACTGGGCAGTGAGAGATAAGTGTCCCCCGGTGCCCTGGTTCTTCCTCTGCACTACGTGTCCACTCACGTGTGCTGTGATGTCGGTCTCTGTCCACCGTTCATGGGGCTCCAGGGTGACCAGGCTCTCCTTGCCAAGTGAGGTGATCTGAGCCATGCAGCGTGGCAGCTTAGGGGCTTGGGTGGTGCTGGAAGTTGTGGAGGAAGAAGAGCGGAGGTGGATAAACGAGGCTCTGATCAGCTGCTCTGAAGGCAGAGTGTCCAGTTTGTAATGAACTGTGAAGGTGTAGTGGTGGTCTGAAGGACAGATGGAGAAACAAAGCATGCAGAGAGCATTATTTATGGTATACTGACATGGTCAGTCCCTCTCTGGACTTAACATTTGTAAAACTTTGTAAAAATCCCAAATTTTTCTAACATTACCCAACTATCCTTATCTAAATGCTATGCACCAGGGTGGATAGGTTGATGAACTCAGTATCTGTGCAAATACCAATCCAGTGAAATGCTAAAAGTGCATAACAGCCAAATTATCTGTTTTTTTCCCCCCCATCAACTATAATAAGAAAAGAAGGGCAATTACAAGTCTCCGAAAATATGTCTAGAATTGATGCATAAAACGCCACAAGTTAATCTAATTTGGGGATAAGAGCTAAATTGGCTCATTCACCCTTTGACTGTGGCAGGTAGTGCAGCGACGACGCCGAAGGTCTCAGTAGGCGGACGGTGTTGGAGCCGAACTTTCGGTGCTGTTTCGGCCTTCCGTCCGGTTTGGTTGCGCTCCGGTACAAGCTCAGCATGAACTGTAGGTTCTGGTCGGCTTTCTGTTCGTCCGTCAGCGGCCGGTGGTGCGCACCTTTGTGCTTTGTGCTCTGATGACTCCGACGGCTGCGCCTCAACGTGGGGTGGTGAGAGGCCATTTTCCGCCCGGCTACAGCTCCAGTGCAGGTGCAACACAGCAGGAAGATAAAACAGGTAAGGACGCAGACACCCAACAAGCTGTGTTTTGTGCGGGTCGCCGTCATGTTGGTTATAAAACCTCTGGTGCTAGCGAGCTCCACCAACGAGGCTTTAGCTGGCAACGATCCCCCGCACGTCCATGTGCGTGATATACAGGGTTACCTGATAACTGGCCATTTCGGACATGACAGTCAACTGCCTGAAATGGGCGGTAACACCCCCAATTAATCCTTCGGATGTGCAACAGCCGCCTATAGGAGCGCAAAGTTGACACGTGATTGGTGCGTAAAGGTGCGTGAAAGTGGCACCGCACTATCCCAGCAGACATTGGGCGAGAGGTGGGGTACAGCCTGGACAGGTCGCCAGTCTATCACAGGGCTTCTTTTATCAGATTGTTTTGCTTATATGCCCACATCTGTATTCTCCACCACACCACGTGCTTTCTCATTGTTAAATACATATTGATATTTAAATTTCCACTTCAGGTATTCTTTGTATATGCAAATATTAGTTATTTGTGTTCACAGGATCTTTACTACAAACTACTCTGGAAATTAAGTTTATGTAAAACCTAAAATATTCATTATTCAATCCAAATAACTAAATCAAAGTCACTTTAAACTGTAATAATGAGCAGCTTGGGTTGAGACAATTTCCAACCCTTTGACAATCCTGCTTCATGATTAAAGGATATGCAATGTAGCTGAGATATCAACAAAGACTTTTATTTTAAGAGATCCGGGATTTCCTTCAGTTTACAACGCAAAAATTAAGAAAGCAAGCAAAATGTTAAATTTGTACAAACTAATTAAAGACACTATTTAACATCGACCACTATTTAACAACCACTTCTTGCCTACACATTAAAAAGCTGTACTGGTAAAGAATGCATTTTACTGAGGAAAAGGTTGAGCACCTTAGTGCCATCAGGTGGTCGAATGACATTACTGCAGCATTTTTACCAGGATCGTTTAATCGTTCCACAAACATACAGCATGTCAGCATAAAAATTTAAAATGATTATAAAATCATATAGTGTTTTTTACACATGGTGTAAAAAACACCAAGTTACAAGTGTAGATATGCTGAAATCCCCCCCCCCCAAAAGATGTCACACACATTAAAGTTCATTTTAAATGATCTAAATCTAAATGTTACTTCCCCTCATTGTCTTTGGACCAAACATCTTTGTTTGCACTGTGATTTAGTTTTTGTATTTAGACTGCTCCCAGACTTTGGCTGCATTTGCAGACTTTGATTGTAGTTTTTTGATATGTTGTTTATTTGTACTTGGATAATATGAAGCCTTTGGGATCACTGCACATCAAGTAAAGGAATTGTTCTCAGCTGGAAGAAGCTGAATAAGCTGTTTCAGTGTGAAATGTAAAACTGGCTAAAATGAAAAGAAATGAACGAAACACATTGCGTAGAATCGGTCTCTTTTCCTGTTTTCTCATCTTTTAAACATCGTCTCACGTGACAGTATTGCTCACCACCAAACCTAATATTAAAGTTCAGCTTTTCTGAGAACAAAGTGCTTTGAGGAGGAAAAAAGGTCGTCTGATCTGACCAAAACAAAAACCCTAGTGGTCAGGACGAAAAGGGGGATGTCTGGGCATGTCTACATCTGTTTCCCTTTGGCAGATTCTCTCAGATTCTCCTCTTTTACTTATTCTTTGTCTTGACACACGTTCATTTAAGTGGCATTGCAGAGTGGTGGCATTCCACAGCAGTGATTATCTACAGTCCAATCATCTCAGTGTGCAGACAGAGTGTGGGAAAACTGAAAGCTATGGAGGACAGACAGAAAAAAACACAAGCTGCAAGAGCTGCACAGGCAGAAACACATTTTAAAAGTTTATTCCTGACAGAAAAACTTAGTGTTAATCTAACTTCTGGAATCCAAATGTGGTTAATCACAATATTTTATTGTCTGTGTATGGGAAACAAAATGAAGACAATCGATTAATTATGTTTTAGAGGCATCAGCCGGCCTATTTTTCAAGCCAGAGAAAGCCAGAGTAAGAGTTTTTCCTCCAGTATGACACTTTATGCTAAGCTAGGCTAACCACATTGGGATTCCAGTTTCAGACTTAACACAGTCATGAGATTGATAGTGATGTTTTGTCTTACTTTGGTAAAGAAAGTGAATGTTGCTAAAACCTTAAACTATTCTTTATAAGGGTTTTCTGCCCCATTAGGCCAAAATAATTAGATAATTAGAAATATTAAATTGTTGCAAGAGAGCTTCATTAACTCAAACTTACCTGATTATCAGTGGTGCAGAAACTTAACAAAAGTAGTAAGTTTTGCTTTTGTCACACTTTAAATTGTTTGTGATTGCATGTTTAAATCTGTCTTAATATGGTGGTTAGATCAGCGAACTGGTATAACTGGTATAGCTTTAGAAATGTGTGGGATGTGATACCAGATGTTGTTGTTGGCCTAATAGGTCAGGAAATTATGCAAGTCTGCAGAGCTTCAGTGTGCTTCGGTTGCTTCCTCTTAAAAACAAACAAACAAACAAAAAAAACAAGAGTGACTGCAAAAGAACGGGCAAAATGACAAAGTATTTGCATTTTGTAAACGATCGCATTTAGATGTTGTCCACTGTGAATGACCAGGGGATGCTTGTAATCACAGTTTTAGTATAATGTGAACATATTCTGAACATACTGGATAACATTCATCATCTGCATCAGTAGAAATACTTTGGATAACTTGGTATTAAAAGTATGTGTGTGTAATATTTTGATTTGATCATTTGAAGCCACAGTGGCTTGTACTGCTTTGAGCAAGGGAAAATATATGTAGTCTGTCAAATTAAACACAGGATACAGACTTTGAAAAGCACAGTATATTGAAGACTGCTTATTACAGAATTTAAAATGTGTAAAAATATCAGATCTGTTAAAGGATATTAATCAGGCTTCTAGAAAGTTTTATAAGTTATAAATTTGTATCAGGTGGTGTCAGTGTAAGTTAACTTTTATAATGCTTATACTATTCGAGAACATATAGTTTTGCTTTCCTTTATTAATATTACTTTGGCATTGCTTAAAATGCATCACACATTAGCAGCTATTTTGTATAAACACGGGCAATTAAATATAAAGATGAAATCCAGCTTTGGTCGTCAGTGCCTGAAATGAACTTATAGTTTTCACAGTGGCTGGTGGCAAAGTAGCAGGCTTCGTGTTTCAAGTCAAAGTGCATGCAGCAGCTAACTTCTGATACTGTTATTTGGCTGCCATGAGCTTGCATGATTACAGCGATTGTTACTCTCATAGCCCCTGCCCCTAGACTTCTTATTGGACAGGTGCAGCCAGAGGCTCTCTGCTATAGGTGGATCGTTTTGTCAATCCCATCGCGCTGTTCAAATAGTGGGAGGGGTCCGCCTACCTCGCTTGGGAAAAAGTTTTGCCAGAGTTGGTTGGTGCGTAAAGTTAGCTGGAGTAGGACCGGAAACGACTTCACATGTCAAAACAAAAGCGTTATAGATGCTGTTTTGGAAAAGAAAAACTGCGCAATTGGCTGAAAATATGAAGAACCGATAGGATCGTGTGATAAACTACACTGCGAGAAATGAACCGTAAAGCACGCTCACAGCCACTTGTCGTTAAAGTTAAAGTTAAACAGCTTGACCGGAAGTTGGTACCAACACATTGATAACTTAGTAACTCGACAGTAGCTGAAACTTGCTGCCCTCCCCCTCGGCCACTCTATACGTCCTTTACCCATCCGTTCAGCTATTCGTTGTTGTTGTTGGAGCGGTGATGGAGAAGTTGGGGGACCGCTGCCGGCGCCGGTAAGCTAGTAACGACTCACCGGCTAATGCACCGAGAGAGAGAGGGAAAGAAGAAAACAACAGATAACGGAGCAGAGAATGGAGACGGTTGAGCAGCTCGTCTCTTTCCACCACATTCAGGTCCAGCTGAGCGGGGGCGCGCCTTGGGGGTTCACGCTGAAAGGAGGACTGGAGCATGGCGAGCCACTCATCATCACAAAAGTAAGTTGACCATTACAATTAGCACCTTGTCGGCTCTGACATAAATCATTGCATGAACTGCTTCAAAACGATGGCGGGATGTAAACAAGCAGGCTACATTTACTGAAGTATAAATCTGAGCTACTTTACTTTGAGTATATTCATTTCATGATTCTTCAATTAGACTGTTTCAGGGAGAAGTATTTAACTTTTTTCTCCACCGCTTTTATTTTTCCACATATTAGAAGAGTAGAGCTCAGTCTAATGATCATGATCAATTAACCTGATTATTTTTTCAGTTAATAGTTTTGTCTGTGAAAATAAATGCTGCAAAGAGTAATGTCTGTTATAATTTCCCACAGTCCAATTTGATGACTTTTTTTTAAATCTAAGTAAAATATTTGATGTCCTTCCACCACTGCTTAAAAGTGTGTTCTTGATGTGAGTATATGTTGCACGGTGTTATGTTTAAATATATGTTTTTGTAAATGTTAGCAGTTGTGGCATCATATTTTGCACCACATCTCACTCAAACTGACTAAAGGAATTGTATTTCTTAAGGATGTGGTTGTTGCAGCCCTCCAGCTCCACCAAAACTACCTGTGGTTAGTTTTGTAGGTAGGTTTGTATGACAGTTTCCACTTTCATGGTTTCAACTTTTCAACTCATGCAAAAAGTCAGAAAAACGGTGCAAACTGCTTTTCCTGCACCGTGTTCTGTATTTTGACTTTTACCCAGATAGATTTGAAGTTCTCCTCTTTCTTCACCAGCTCCTCGTCCTGTTGTGCAGAGAATAAAGGTATTGTCCAGTTGTACAGCAAATATCCAGTGCTGGTAGATGTTTGTCAGCAGTCTATGAATGAAAAGCCCAGTATAATCTGATGCAGGGTTGGGTTCTCAAACCGGGAGGGGGGGGGGGTCAAAGGGTTCCCAGGGCAATCCCAGTCCAAATGAGACTCTGTTCATCTCTGGGTTACTGGAAGGACGTCTTGACAGATGACCAAACCCAGTTCAGATGGCCAGTTTTGGAGCAGAACTGTGCACTCTAGTGGGATGCCTGTGAGATGTGGGAATCCTTAAAATGAAAGTTTGTCATCATCACATTGGTCATATGCTATTGACCCTTTTGCAGTAGCTTTGACAGCATCCTCATGAATTGTTTTGAAAGAATGAAACCATGTTTGGGAGTTGATGTACATGCAGAATGACATGTATTGTGGTTTATTGTTATTTCTGCAAATTCAACCAAAGAAGTTAGGCTTAGTTTCAGGTGTGTGCATTTGGGGAGTCTGAGAGCTGTGTAAGTGCTTTCAGGTTTTGATGTAACCTTGTCTTGTGCGATAAAGTCGTGGGGGCAGACACTTCCTCCCAGGCTCTTCTCATGGTTTCACACTGTGGGTGGTGAGCTGCTGAAAATAAGAAGGATGCCTTTGAATTACTAAAAGTAATTATTGCTGTGTGTTCTGCTGGGGGTGGTCTCTGTGTGTGTTGGGTCCAGTGCAGGCTCACTGACATGTGACCTCTGCTCACTCTCTGTCTTCACTGACATGTGACCTCTGCTCACTCTGTCTTTTTTGATGCATCTTTCCCACTTTGTTGAATAGTTGAAGGAGCAGTGGTGTAAAAGTTGGCCAGTGAACATGTATATTCACCACAGCAGGGAAGGGAAAAGCCTGGCTCAGTCATCTGGAAACACACACTAAGTCTCACACAGTGACACAGCCCCTGGGAAAATGTGAGTGGGACTGCTAAAGGAGATAAAAATCAAAATGTGCTCTAGGGCTGTTTTGTGTCCAGTGACTAGGTTTTACACACACGCACGCGCACAGGATAAAGTAGATTAGGCGGTGAGGCTAGATGGAGAACTGTGGTGCAGAAAAGTGTTTAAAGTGTTTAATAATTAATGTTAAGTTCTTGAAGGAAAGATGAGGAAAGCAGGAACACACAGAGGAGGTAAAGCTGAGGTTTGCGTGTGTGTGTGTGTAAGTGTATAATGTGTTTTAGGTTTAGTGAGGGTGAGAAAGAGTTTCCATCAGCCTTAACACAGAGGTTTACTGTGTCGGTATGGACCATAGCTGAATGCAGTCATAAGACTTATTAGAGAGATGGACGAGCATGTGTGCGTGAGTGAAAGAGGTATCAAATAATTGAACTCCAGCTCCACCTTCTGCAATGCGTGTTCTGTTCATAGGGACCCGTGAGGTGCCACAGCACTGACATCATCACGCATATCATCAGTACTGTGAGATGACAAATTCATGGGGAATCATGTGGAGGATTTTGGTCAAACAGTCACTGATGGCCAAAAGCTGAAGACCTTCAATATGGCTGCCAGACCAAATGGCCTTCTTTTAAACTCATCATTTAGCCCTATATAGTTTTATGTGCATGTAAGCCGCAGTGTGTCTTTGATGGAGTGCGTCTGCTGTCTTTTGGGGCAGCGTGCGTGAGACACAGTGAGCGCTGATGTGCCAGTCGGGTGCCAGTCATGATGACCGTGTTTTGGGGAGTGTGTCTGAGAGTGTGCATGCTGCTGGAGGGGGAAGGGTGGCTTCCCCAGTCTGAGACAGCAGAGGGATGTAAGCCATTTACTCAGCATTCCTCCAGGAGCATAACACATAACTACTCTGTGGCATGTGTGTGAATGGGTGTAGAGATTGCACGGACCTTTGTGTACGTGTGTAGTCCCATACATATTATTATCTAAACTGAGTTCTTAGTAGCTAGTTTTCAGCTGTGTGATGACACAGTGAGTTTAAGGTTTTATCTGTTCAACTAGTTAGCCATTAGCTGTGCTGCTCAGTCATCTAGTGAGTCAGTCTTTGAGCCTGGTGGCAAGTTATTAGCTAAACTGTCATATTGTGACAATCAAGTTACCAGTTATCAATTAAAACCCTACTAGTTGTCCATCACATGTAAGTTATGGATGCTTTTGCTGTATGTGTTTTGTCAGAGATGAGTATGTGGCTCTGTTGCGTTGTGACAGAGCAGCTGCTGCTGAGCTGTCAGCTCACTTTGATATGTGGGCTTACGATCTGCTGCGTGCTCGCCGGTGATTTTTGTTTGGAACTTACTGT